TCATTACTCTAATTAATTGTACATATCTATATGTACACTCCATATCCACTTGTGTTCATATATTGCAGCATCTGAACATTATGTGCATTCATGCACCCAAAACATAATAATTTCTTAGTTTTGTCACTCATTTGCAGAACCTCATCGATCTGGCAGGTTCAGAGAGTTCAAGGGCTGAAACAACAGGAGCACGCCGGAAGGAAGGGTCTTATATCAATAAAAGTCTGCTGACTCTTGGAACGGTGGGTCTCAGTCCTGTAATCACAATTTGATGACAAAAATCTTTCCTAATATAAAGCTATAAACATGTTATGCTCATGATATTAAAATTCTTTAAACTTATGTATGTTGTTGCCTGCGCATTGTGTGTGTGGACCGTGGCTTTGGGAGTTTATAACCTAAACCCTGTCTATGCTCCCAATGCCACAGCTCTGCATCCCTGTATGTCGATTAGTTATTTCACTTTCTAGAGGCATTTGTAAGCAAATTAGAAAGAGTTCAGTGTGCACGATGTATTAGTAACAACATCACAAAAAACAAGACAACCTATTAAAAATGTAGCAGAACCACTATTATTCCATTCCATATTTATTTATTTATTTATTGTTTATAATTTTTCTAGTGATTTAGGGCAGAAGCTGGTTAAGTCATGAGGATTAGTTGTACTTTCTTAGTTTCTTATCTAAAAGAATTTTGTGTGAATATTCCAGGTGATATCAAAATTGACTGATGGAAAAGCTACTCATGTTCCATTTCGAAACTCAAAATTAACACGTTTACTGCAGTCATCCTTGAGTGGCCAAGGACGTGTTTCTGTGAGTTATTCAGGATACTGCTTAAAAGTTATATTCTTTCATTTTTGGTATCGCAATCATTCGTGTATTGACTTTGTGCAGCTGATTTGCACGGTTACTCCAGCATCGAGCAACTCTGAAGAAACTCATAATACGTTAAAATTTGCCCACCGCTCAAAGCACATTGAGATCCAAGCATTACAAAACAAGGTGGACAAGCTTGCTTAACAGATTCTCCGCCTTGTGTGTTTATCTCCGACTTCTTATTTGTAACTGTATTCATGGTTTTCAGATTATTGATGAGAAATCTCTAATAAAGAAGTACCAAAGTGAAATTCGTCAACTAAGGGAAGAGCTAGAACAGCTGAAAAGAGGGATCTTTACTGCCACTCCTTTGGAAGATGTCACAGAAGATAATATCATTCTTTGGAAACAGAAGGTGATACTTTTTTTATTGTCTCATTTAGTGCTTTATGGATTTGTCGTCTTTCACTTTATTTATCATGCTTGAAGGAAATATTTCGGTGCATCACTGATGGATTCTAAGTTCGTAACTACTTATTCATCACATGAAAAGCTAGAAGATGGTAATGTCAAGCTTCAGTCTAGACTGGAACAAGAAGAAGAAGCCAAAGCTGCTTTGCTTGGCAGGATACAGCGTCTAACAAAACTAATCCTGGTTTCCACCAGAGCAACCCAGACTACTAGATCATCTCAACATCCTGGCACAAGGCGCAGACATTCTTTTGGTGAAGGAGAGGTTTGAATGTTCAGATAATGTTACAAAATGATATAATTCAATCAGCTTGCATTTATCTTTTACCATGATGTCTTTTTCATTAGTTCTAATGCCTTTATTTTTCTAAAGTTTGTCTGCTAAAATTGCAGCTGGCATATCTCCCACATAGAAGGCGAGATATTATCGTGAATAGCGATAGAAATGAGCTGGTTATGCCGAGGGAAGGATTTGGTGAAGCACTTGAAATGTCTCCTAAGGAGGAGAAGCAAAGTCGTAAAGGACTCCTTAACTGGTTCAAACTTCGGGTACACAAATCAGATACTTTTAATATAACTGTATTTCAACATTATATTTAGCATGGTGAACAGTTGTGTTTTCCTTCTGATATTACATGCCAGAACCCAACTTATATCAAGCCATATGGCCTCATAAGAATGGTTATTTTAGACAATTTGGTGTATAGTAGTGCATCACAACATGATGTGCATGCCGTATATGCGTCATCTCATCCTTAATGAGGATGCATATTGATTTCGTGAGAAACTTTTTAGTATGGATAAGGTTATAGTTTTTTTTTTTGGAGCCAAGCCAGAACGAATGACCCATCTGCTTTGTGAGAGTTCTCCTTCACTCTGATCTTTAATTTTTAACTGTATGCAGAAGCGTGATAGTGGTTCTGCTACCCTGGCATGTTCTGATGGTGGTAAATCTAGTTTGACCAAATCATTCACTGCTCCTTCAAAACGTCTGGAGGATGGGATTAATTTTCTATCAGAACAGAGGACGTGGAATTCTATGCTTGATGAGAATGTACCAGCTGATTTTTTGAGTGTTGACCTAGGAATTCCTTCTGACAGCTCTCCTCTAGAAGATATACTGTCCGTACAAAGTGTGAGCACATTTTCCCTTTGTTTGCATTCCATTTAAGACAAACAAAATGGGTTGCAGTTCTAAATACAAAATGAAAAGGTAGGAGAAAAACAGGAGGTGAACTTTAGCAGACTGGGATTCAGAGCAAGTAACCGATATAAGTAGTGTAGTGCAAGTTTGTGCGTAGATAGCCTAAAAAGCATGTTATCGTTTCGCATAATATGCTCTATTGTATGGTTCAGGTCAGCAGAAAAAGAGAAATCTTAGATGATGTTGATCTATTGAGGGAGCAGTTAAAGATTTCGTCAGGGGAGGCTGTGCTCCACGCAAATGTTGTAAAGCACCTCACAGAGGAAGCTGGAATAAGCGGAATGAGCAAACAGATTGAGGTAAACCTCTCCCTGGTACACTTTTCGCTATTTTATTAGCACACTTGTTCTTCAAAATTGTACCTTTGTCTGAAGATGGAAAGGATGGCCAATGATGAGATTAAATGCAAGCAGCAGATAGTATCTTTGGAAAATCAGAATGCTCATTCAGTGGCAGACAGTCAAGAAAAGCTTGACACTTCAGAACTTTCACCGGTAATGTTTATGTGCACTATATGCGGTTTTGACCTTGTTCCTTTGATACGCATACATAACAAACTATTTCATTGTCTTCAGTATTACGCTAAGATACTTAAGCAACTCAATGAGAAGGCCTTTCAACTTGAGGTATGGAGGCGTTCTACTGAATCTTTCCTCTTTTATTCTCTTCTTAATACAAATGTGAGCAGTTTTTCTGCATGTTATGAATACTGTTTGATGAAGCTCAACCCTCTCTCGAACTGAGCTATTTCAGTTTTTTATCAGAAAAATGGAATGAGCACTAAAGTTAAGGTATTTGAAACTAAAAATTGCAATTGTCAGATACAAAACGGTCCACATTAGCATATACTCCAAAAGAGGGGACACACATGAAAACCAAAGTATTCTGAATTTCTGTAGTAAAACCATGCTGAATCCATTGCGTTTTGAATTGGTGTAGTATTGTTGGGAAGGAGCACTGAAACTAGAAATTTTGATGCAGCGATTCCAAATTTCCAGTTATATGTACTGATGTTTTTTCACCCAAAATTGTATTTCCTAAACAAGAGAGCACCCCTTTGTTTACCCAAGTTGGCCTGCTATATGCTCATCCTCTCTTATTGAACTGTATGGCTGGTAACAAAAAAGTTTGTATGTTGAATGAATATTGTTGAATGTGCCGCTATAGTTAGTTTCTTTCAGTTATTGCAAGGTCATTTTCTGTATGTACCGCAGGTGAAAACAGCAGATAACAGGATACTGGAAGACCAGCTAGAGAAAAAGGTTGTATTTGGTTATATGTTTAGAAATAAGCGCAAAAGTTTGTAACTTACAAGTTTTATTTATCAGGCAAGCGAATGTGAAGAGTTGCAAGAAACGGTTGTTTACTTGAAAGAACTGATCGTCCAAGCTCTTCAAATTGACGAGTTTTTACCAGAAAGAATCAGATTGCAGCAGCAAACAGGCATCGGCCATGACGTTGGATCACAAGGTCATAATGATAATCCATTATCCAGTGATGTATCTGAAAAACCACTGGAGAACACATCGCAGGTTTGCCTTTTCTCTACACTCTGGCCCATCATCCTTTCGTTCAGATGCAAGTCCAATTTTCCTATCCTCTGAACTCTACACTCTGAACACATCGCAGGCTTGGCAAATATATCATGTTTGTTTGTCGTGCATCTCATGATAAGATTGGTCTAGATGACATTATACCTTTTGCCATGGCCTGTCATGATAATGCACGTACACTTGCCATTTCATTAATTATTGCTAATTACCAATACAGTCCTTAGTTTTCTGGAAATCCAATATAACCCTGTGAATTGGTGCTTCGAAACAGGGCATCACACAATTAACCTGTCGCAGATGCCGCTCTTCCATTTGTCTAATACAGCACATTACCTCTTTTTAGTTTATGCGTTACACATATAGCTACTTTATCTGATTGGGCTACCAAAACTCCAAAAGTATATATGGTGTTCTTATGTTCCTTATGTTCCTCTCCAGTCAGAGATCGACGAACTGAAGCAGAAACTGTGCGAACTCACTGAAGCCAAAGCTCAGCTAGAGGTCCGTAACCAGGAACTTCTCGAGGAAAGCATGTACGCCAAGGGCCTGGCCTCAGCCGCGGGTGTCGAACTGAGAGCACTTTCTGAAGAAGTCACCAAACTCGTCAAGCAGAATGAGAAGCTTGCCAGCGAGGTGGAGTCAGCGAGAAACTCGACTCCACGAAGAGCAAGCCATAGCCCGAAGGCAGCTCGAAAGGGCAGCCACGTCGAACGGCACGAACCGGGTGGTAAGAGAGACACGAACTCAAGCAGCCAGAGGGAGCAAGCTCTGGAGGCCATGCTCGCGGAGAAGGACCAGAGAGAAGCTGAACTCGAGAAGAAAATCGAGGAGTCGAAGCAGAAGGAGGCCTTCCTGGAGGGCGAGCTCGCAAATATATGGACCTTGGTGGCGAAACTGAGGAAAGCCGAGGGAAATTGCAAAGATGATTCAGATGCCATACACACGATTGTATAGTGGACCACAAGCCATGACCCTCAAGATTATCCAATTAGTCCTTTGTACAGTATATCTGATCATCCGATCTTCGGTACGTGTGTTGTGCTTGCAGGTTGTGTGATTTCTGTGTGTATAAGAGAACTGTACCCCCGGTGTGAATGAGTGTCTGTTGTCTGTATATTTGTGGAAGACTCATTTGTAGTGAGAATCAGTGGGTATTGTGGTGCAGGTTCTATGCGACCATTACCTATGCTGTGATGACTGTGTCCCGGGCCTGATTGGTTACTGTAACTTGTGGTCATTGGCGATCGGCACTATAGTACGTGGAATGTGGTTATATGCTCAGTGTTCTGGCTTACAATTAACTTGAGGCATGTGAATATATCTGCAGTGTGTTCATCCTCATTTCATCAGGACAGCTCGCAACTAGAGTATCTTTTTTTGAGCTTGCAACTAGAGTATCTTGTTTCCTGTTCATCGCAAAGAAGCGTACGCGACCCTGTTTCCTTTGCCGAACGTTTTTCTGGTTATCGTGTGGCCACGGTGCGAGCTATCTGTCCTTGGTCGTCGGCCGAACTGGCGCCGCAGCTGGCCCTTGTGGCGATGGGTCTCGAGCAGAAAGCAACAGCGACGGCTCCCCTCCCCATCGGTGAGGTCAGGTCAGATCACAGGGACCGCAGACTTCCTCGTCCTGTGCAGTGCAAGGCAGGCAGGCAGGCACCGGCCAGGTCGTGGAAAGAGGAAGCAGAGACACTTTACAAGCGCGTCCGGACAAGCCATCCTCGCCGCGCCACGCCGAAAGTCTCGCTTTTGGACACCCGGCTTACGTGCCGCCGCTGTGGTTCGTTGACGCCGCCGCCATGCGTGCGTGGCGAAGCGACATTGCCCTGTAACATCAACGTACTGGAGCAGAAGTGGCAGCTTGCAAGTCAAGCCTGGTGCATGCAGTGGCTCCGTCCTTCTGTTTTTTCAACGTCGATGGGGTCATGGGTCATGGGGACGCAAACAGTGGCAGCGTGAAAGTGAAACATGCCGCACGGCCGCGGTTTTCAAACTTAGCCTGCAGTGTCGTGCGCATTTTTTTTTTTGTGTGTGTGTGTGTGGAGGAGTTTCGTGGAGTGCAAGTTTGCAAGCTATTTGCTCTGGCTTTGGACTGGTCCGTTTCAGAGCAGCTGCAGGTCAGGCTTGGCGAAACTGAAACGCAAAATCACGTGTATAAAACTACGGAGGCTCTGCTGATCTTAGCCGTGTAGTAACATGTTCCTTGTAGACTTTTCGGTTCCTTGTACCGTTTCTCGCATATACTACGTCCATGTATCCTGAAAAGTTTTTATTTTTTGAACGGATGTATCCTGCAAAGTTGGTAGGCCGCGCGGCCGGCGTCGAACGTCGTCGCGTGCATGTGCGTTCGGCGGCCCCCTCACTCACGATCAGGGCAGGCCACCAAATGATTGCACAAATTAATGCAGCAAAGTATGCGTCTGTACAGTATACTATGCGCAACAACAATAATGTACACTCTGAAGTAGTAGTACGTACCAACGGAAATCAGATCGTAACCACCTTTTTTCACGTACCATAGTTGGTGATTAGTGTGCGTGTAGACGGCGTAATGAGTGCACGATCAACCACCCAAAGGTATCAAAAGCCCCATCTGGTGACAAAGATCCCCGACTTTTGCCATCACCTAAAGTACCAACGGCACCTATGATATGACACAGGCAAGGCACTACGGGCGACAGCGACGCCGAGGACACTTTCCAAAGACCCTCCTCGTCGTACCTAGCGTGGTCGGTAAACGCCGTCACGGCTTCATTGGCTGCACGCTCGCATAATCGTTCGGCACTGCTAGTAATTTACACCGGCCCCTAGGATCAACTACTTTGACGACCGGAACAGGTAAACAGAGACACTCAAGACTGAAGTGGTTGGGTGTAAAATAACTGTTTGAGCAAGTTCTTTTTAGAAAAGGAGAATGACCCCCGACCTCTGTATCTGAAAGATGCATACGGTCGCTTTATTGATTATTTCCGAGGACCGTATAAAGTATTTACAACAATGTGCCTGAATCCATCATCTTGGCAACATATGCCGCTACTCCTATTCAATATGATGAAGGCATGGGCGGATTTAGGCCCCAGGCAGAAGGGGCAGCGGCCTGGGGCGTGAGGCCCATGTCCTTCATATACTTATGCACTGTAGTACAGTAAATTGCTACAGTCAACAGAGCTGCCTGGGCCTTGGCCCAGTTCGCCTGGGCCTTGGCTCATTCCTGGGTCCGCCACTGGATGAAGGGGTGCTAGCTGGGCCACTACCCAAACCACTCACCTAAGCCTAACATCAAAAGCCGGAAGCCGAAACTCATTCGGAAGCCCCAGCCGAGCCACATACCGGGTCTGGGCCACGATCCGGTCAGACGCACTAGTGTGTCGTCGCCGCCATCTTCCACAGGTTTTCAGATCATATTGAGGCTTCTACCTTGTCTGGCCACTCTGCCATCGATGTTACCATGACGCCAGACAGCAACCTCCTCCTGCGCGAGCCCATCTCCGCGCATCGGACGTCGAGTCTCCACAGCGCCATGCCATCGATCTCCGCCGCCATCAATGTGTGAGATGAAGCACCGCTCCACCATCCCTCCAGCCAGCACTTGCTCCAAAACGATGCCTCCAGAAGGGAAAGCGATAGAACGCCATCATCATCCGATCCGAAAGACCCAGATCTGGGGTTTCCCCCTGAGCACCCCGAGCCTGATGGCGCAGACTGCCGACGATGCCTCGACCATCGGCAGTAGCTCCACCAGACGAGCGTCGCCTACGTCGCCGCAGCCTCCAAGATGAAGCTGACCAGAATGCATGTGTCGACACCGTGTTAGACTGTATATACGTAGTCTTGTACATGCCTTGTATTTGTACCTCTTGGTACGTCTATATAATGAGATAGCCACACCCCGTTTTAGGGTGTCGAGCAGTTCCCAAAACATACGTCTTACATGGTATCAGTTTAGGGTTATGATGTCTTCCGCTGCCGTCGCCGCCGCCGCCGCCGCGCCGACCGCTGCTCCCGTTCCCGCCGCTGCCTCGGCGCCGCCCCCTGCGCCGGCCCCTGCCGTCGCACCCTCGTCGCCGTTCCTGGCCTCCCAGCCCCTGGCCGCGGTCTCGGCATGGTGGAATACCTAGTCGCCCGCGGGGGTCCCAGATCGGATCGGGAGCGACACATGGCGACCTCCCTCCGCCGCCGTCCTCTGGCGGCCCATCGCCCTCGACCACTACGGGTGCCCTACCGGCGCCGCCGTCCTTCCAGGGCCAGCTGCCGGCGTACGGCACCGCCCCTGCGCCAACCTATGGCGCTGCCGCTGCGTTGCTGTATGCCGCCCTGCACTCGTACGGTGGCTCGGGTCCGGCCTATGGCCCCCCGTGGTATGGCGCCCCTGCTTCCACTCCGGGTGCTCCGCGACCGCCACCGTCCGCCTGGCCGATGCATCCCTACGACGTGCTGCCGCCGCAGCCCTATGTGGCGCCGACGCGTCCTCCACCCTACGCGGCGCCGCCTTCGCTGCCCTACGGGGCCGCGCCTCCTCCGTCACCAGGGGACCCGTACGCTGGTGCCCCTGGCTATGGCGCACCCTTGGCCATCGCGCCGCCTCACGAGATGGATCCATCTATGGGTCCCTACGCGCCACTGACACAGGATCGTGCTTCACCGCCATCGCCGTTTTATTTCTCGCACCTGCTGCCAGTGAAGCTCGGGACGGACAACTACCTGTCGTGGCGTGCGCAGGTCTTGCCTCTCCTCCGCAGCCGTTACTTGGAGGGTTATGTTGATGGGTCCATCCCATGCCCACCTCCTCACCATCCGGCATATCACACGTGGGTGGCGCAGGATCAGGCCATTCTCTCTGCCATCCAGTCTTCGCTCACGCCGAGTGTTTCGTCGATGGTCATCTTCGCCGCTACGTCCAGGGAGGCGTGGGCGGCCCTCCACACCAGTTTCGCCTCCCAGTCTCAGGCGCGTGCGCACTCTATACACACCGAGCTAGGCGAGACCAAACTTGGCGATCTCAGCATCACGGAGTACTTCAACAAGATGACGAGCCCCGCAGACACTCTGGCCTCTGTTGGTCAGCCACTTCTGGACGCGGACTTCACCATCTTTGTGCTCAACGGGCTCGATGATGATTATGATAATCTCATTGAGAACGTCCATGGTCGAGATGATACACTCCCGCGTCGTGAGCTCTATGCGCGCCTCCTTGGGCGTGAGCAGCGCATCAAGGCGCGCCGTGTCTCCCCCAGCTTCGTCTCCGCCAACGCCGCCACACACGGCAAACCTCAGAAGCCGGCCCCATCAGGTGGAAAACCACCGGCTTCCCCGTCGCAGGCCTCCGCGGGGCAACGCGCCGACCATCACAGGAGGGAGTCGCCCAGTTGCTTGCTGTTCCAGTTGCGGCGCTCCTCAGGCTTGTCAGCTTTGTGGCATAGACCTTCACCTCGCCTCTCGCTGCCACAGACGCTACAAGCAAGACTTCCTTGGCCTTGGCAACAATGGAAAAGGGAATGATAAGCAGGCTGCAGCTGCGGTGACCGGGCACGACCACGGGCGCACCCAGTCGTACTCCCTTGATCCGGCGTGGTACATGGATACAGGAGCGACGAATCACCTCACCAGCAAGATGGGAAAGCTCTCCGTTCAGGAACCGTATCGTGGACATGATCAGGTGCACACCGCCAATGGAGCAGGTATGCGCATCTCCCATGTTGGTCAGGCATCACTTCTCGCACACAATTCTCGCAATCTGCATCTTTCTAACGTTCTTCGAGTTCCCTATGCTACGCGTAGTTTGTTGTCTATTCCTCAATTTACTCGTGATAATAATGTCCTTGCTGAGTTTCACCCTTTTCGTTTCTTTATCAAGGATCGGGACACGAGGGGCGTTCTGCTTAGTGGTCGTCTTCGCCATGGCTTATATGCACTTGACGCACCGTCTGCATCTCCTACACCGTCTTCTCCTCAGGTGTTCAGTGGTGTTCGTGTGTCACCTACGCACTGGCATGCGCGCCTTGGACATCCTGCTGCTCCTATAGTTAGTCATGTGCTGCATCACCATGAACTACCAGTTGTGTCCAATAAAAGTGCTGAAACTATTTGTGATGCCTGTCAGCAGGGCAAGATTCACCAACTACCTTTTTCAGAGTCTAGTCGTGTTGTGGAACATCCTCTTGAGCTTGTGTTTTCTGATGTATGGGGTCATGCCCAAACATCTGTTAGTGGTCACAATTACTATGTCAGTTTCATTGATGCTTACAGTCGGTTTACTTGGCTATATCTTATCAAGCGTAAATCTGATGTGTTTAATGTTTTCATTCAGTTCCAAGCACACGTTGAGCGTCTCCTCAAGCATAAGATTATTCATGTTCAATCCGATTGGGGGGTGAATATCACAACCTCAACTCGTTTTTTAATAAGCTTGGAATTTCGCATCGTGTGTATTGTCCTCGTACACATCAACAAAACGGCACCGCTGAATGTAAGCATCGTCATCTTGTAGAGACTGGCCTCACTTTACTAGCTCAAGCTGACGAAGCGACCAACCACGAGTAACGGCAAGAGACAGCAGTATACTTTCTCCACCGCCTGTTTCTTGATAAATAGGCTTCCCTCACGACTACTGAAAATGAAAACCCCTCTTGAACTCTTGCTCGGTGATATTCCAGACTACACGTTTCTCAAAGTGTTTGGATGCGCATGTTGGCCGCACTTGCGGCCTTACAACAAGCGTAAATTAGAGTTTCGGTTTAAGAAATGTGTTTTCCTTGGGCACAATTCTCTTCACAAAGGGTACAAGTGTCTTCATGTTCCCACCAATCATGTCTACATTTCTCGTGACGTCGTGTTTGATGAGAATGTGTTCCCGTTTCGTGCTCTTCCGAACCACTCTACCACTAGTTTACCACCTGTGCACTCCACTACACCTTCACCTGACCAATTTGTGGATGTTGCAAATGCTCCTGTGTTGCTTCCTAACCATGCTGCAGGTATTGGACGCGGTGCGCGCCTTGAACTCCTGGATGATGAGATTCTGGGCGACACTCATGATGGCCACGTTGATCCTGTGCATGGCCCATGCATGGCGGGTCTGCCCGTCAGCCCGGTGCATCCACAGCCGCCCCGCGGGCGTCGGCAGTGCCCGCGGCTGCACCCGCTTTGGCCGCCCCGTTGGCCGGCTCGCCCGGGTCGCCTGCCTCCGCGCCCGGGTCGCCTGCCTCCGCGCCCGGGTCGCTAGTCCCGTCGATCGGCTCGCCCGCTCCCGCGCCCGGGTCGCCCGCCCCGTCGATCGGGTCGCTAGTCCCGTCGATCGGCTCGCCCGCTCCCGCGCCCGGGTCGCCCGCCCCGTCGACCGGGTCGCCCGGTCCAGCGCTCTCGCCTGGCCCAGGGCCCGACTCGCCTGTCAGGCCACAGGAGCTGCCCTCGTCGGGCCCAGCAGACACGGCAGCTGTGCCGGCCAGCCCCGCCTCGGCTATGTCGTCCGGTGCTAAGTCTGCTGAGTCTGGCTCCCCCAGCCCCGTCTCGGCCACGACGCCTTCGTCACCTGTGGCAAGCCCCGTGGTGCCAGCACCGCCCGCTGTGGTTCATCATCGACCGCACACGCGCAGCCGGTCTGGTGTTTTTTGCCCTAAGGAACGCAAAGACGGGACGGTGGCGTGGCTTGCTGCATGTGTGGCTCATGCTGCTGCGGATCCCACGGTAGAGCAACGTCATTTTCAGGCTGCATTGGGTATTCCCCACTGGCGTGCTGCGATGGAGCAGGAATTTCAGGCCTTGCTGAAAAATGGTACTTGGCAACTTGTTCCTCCGGTCTCTGGCGTCAACATCATTGACTCCAAGTGGGTGTTTAAGGTCAAACGACTTGCAGATGGTTCTATTGAGCGCTACAAGGCACGGCTGGTTGCCAAGGGTTTCAAGCAGAGGTACGGTCTTGATTATGAAGACACATTCAGTCCAGTTATCAAGCCTACTACTATTCATATACTGCTGTCTCTTGCCGTTACTCGTGGTTGGTCGCTTCGTCAGCTTGATGTGCAGAATGCTTTCCTCCATGGAGTTCTGGAGGAAGAGGTTTATATGCGTCAACCACCAGGTTTTGTTGATCCTACGCGTCCGCATCATCTCTGTCGTCTGGTCAAGGCATTGTATGGACTTAAACAGGCGCCTCGTTCATGGCATGCTCGTCTTGGTTCTGCACTCCAGGCTCTTGGATTTATTCCCTCAACTACTGACACGTCACTGTTTCTTCTTCAGCCCCTGAGGTGACGATGTATCTTTTGGTGTATGTTGATGATATCATCCTTGTCAGTTCCTCCAATGCTGCTGCGGATCGCCTTGTGTCTGCATTAGGTGAGGAATTTGCTGTCAAAGATTTGGGTGCTCTGCATTATTTTCTTGGATTGGAGGTGTCATGGTCCTCTACTGGTTTGACTTTGAGTCAGAAAAAGTACTCCATGGATTTGCTGGGCCGTGCTGGGATGCTCCAATGCAAACATGCTATCACTCCGATGTCTGCCACTGATCGGTTGTCTGCCCTTGATGGAGATCCTCTTTCCACTGATGACGCCACTGAGTATCGCAGCCTTGTTGGTGGTCTGCAATATCTCACTATCACCAGACCTGATGTCTCTTATGCAGTCAACCGTGTGTGCCAGTATCTGCATGCACCTCGTACCACTCATCTCTCGGCAGTTAAGCGCATTCTGCGTTATGTTTCTTCTACTGCTTCGTATGGTCTGCTCCTTCAGTCTGCACCGTCTTGTGACCTTTCGGCGTTCTCTGATGCGGATTGGGCTGGCAGTCCTGATGATCGGTGATCCACGGGGGGATATGCAGTGTTCTTTGGTCCTAACCTGATCGCCTGGAATGCACGCAAGCAAGCCACCGTGTCTCGTAGCAGTACTGAAGCTGAGTATAAAGCTGTTGCTGATGCTACCGCTGAGATCATATGGGTACAGTCTTTGTTATGGGAGCTGAGAGTCTCTCCAAGTCATCATCCAGTTCTGTGGTGTGATAACATCGGCGCTACATACCTTTCATCTAATCCGGTGTTTCATGCTAGGACGAAACACATCGAGGTTGACTATCACTTTGTTCGGGAACGTGTTGCACAGAGACTGCTTTGTATCAAGTTCATCTCCTCCAAAGATCAACTTGCTGACATCTTCACGAAGCCTCTTCCACAACCACAGTTTGTAGGCTGTAGGCGCAATCTTAACTTACTTTGTACTTCAGGCTACAGTTAAGATTGAGGGAGGGTGTTAGACTGTATATACGTAGTCTTGTACATGCCTTGTATTTGTACCTCTTGGTACGTCTATATAATGAGATAGCCACACCCCGTTTTAGGGTGTCGAGCAGTTCCCAAAACATACGTCTTACACACCGAACCGCCACCACTTCCACCGCCGCTTGAGTAGCCCCCGAGCAACGCCTTTAGTAAGGAGCACGCCACCGTGGTGTCGTCGTCGCTTGGAACAGGGGGGTCTGAGGTTTTCACCTGAGCTCCTGGGAGGGGTGGAAGGAAGGAGGTCCTCTCCGAAGCCTCCATCGAGGGAAGCAACACCCAAAGGCACTGCCATCGGAGTGGCCGCCACGCCGGCCAAGAGATTCCCCCGAAACCCTTCCAGCCACCGGATCTGCAAGGCCAACACCCAGAACGGTGACCGAAGCCACCAAGGGCCGGATCCGCTGCAGATCAGAGCAAGTAGAACTGTTCGAGCAAGTAGCAAGCCAGTTTTATTTTTTATTTTTTCAAAAATCTCACCTAGTTTATTATTAAATACTCCCTCCGTTCCCTTTTGTAAAACGTTTTAGGCATTTAAGACAGCATCTAAAACAACTCTATTACAGCCGTCTTAAACAACTTACAAAACTGAACAGAGGGAGTAACAATAAAGTGGACGAGATTTCTTAAAAAAAGGATGAAAAAAAAACTATCAAAGAAGTCAACACAACTGTTTGCGCATGCAACGTATGCCGTTGAAAACAAGTTCGAAGCACTACATGCACCGTTTTTTATCCAACCGAGCACTGCCCATTCCATCAATTTCTTAACGGTGTGTTTCATGTGTTTATTCCGCAGAAAATTAAGCGTGAGCAAAATAGAGTAGCAGATCGGTTGACTTTGTATAGTCGTATTGAGAACGCGACTGCTGTATGGCTAGATCGTGGACCACCGTGCATAGAGGAACTTTTGCCTCTCGATTGTAACCCTATTCTTATGGAATAAAACTCTTTACCCTCGTAAAAAAAACATGAAAATGCAATGTAAACATCATGACGATCTCCAAATGAGGCCTCCACAACCTCCATATTTGGATGCTACGAGGTCATTTTTGGATCGAGCTTCATATTTTTTGACGATCTTGACGCATATGAGTTATTACGACTCTGCTAGCTTCTTTTGCCGGCTAGTTCTCTGTGAGTAGGCCAGTAGAGTGGTGGATGATGATTATGCGCTCACACAGTGCATCGACGTCTAGGCGTCGTTATGAAGGTGTTGGTTTGAAATTCTGCTCCGGGGATTATTTGTTTTCTTCACCAATTATATGGAATGCAAAAAAAGAAAACCCTACTATTTTATTCCATAATGACATGTGGTCCTCGCAGAATTGTTTTCCAATGCGCTACGGATTTGCGGTTGCTGCGCTTTGGTAGGATACCGGGCATATATCAGCATCACTTGGAAGGAATCCCCTCATCCCTAAGTAAAGCTACCTCTCGCGTCCCCATCATATCGCCTTCAACTTCCATACCATCTCTTTCCCTACCATATATATACACGAGCCCCTTCTCCACGACCACGACCATAGTAGCAGCGCAAGCAAGAAAAGCAGGAGCAGATCAGATTCATCCAGAGATCCAGAGAAGAATCGGAGCTTCTTTTTCGCTAGGATTATTAGCTCTCGCGGACACGAACGATGGCGAGCGGCGGCTACGGCGGCCCCTACTCCTACTACAACCAGCCTGCGGCCGCGCCCTACTACTACGTGCAGCGGCCGGCGAGAGGGGGAGGCGGCGGCGGCTCGCGACCGCCGCTCCACCTCTTCCTGCTGCTCGCGACGCTCCTCCTCCTCGCCGCCACCTCGCTGTACGCGCGGTGTGAGGCGGCGGTGGAGAGCATGGCACAGCAGCTCCGGCCGTTGCTCATCCTGTCCCCGCTGCTGCTCATCGTCGCCGCGCAGCTCTGGGTGGCCACCAGCGGCGACCACCGGCAGGGTGGGGGCGCGCTCGCGTACCTCCTCGAGCAGGTGGCTCCGGCGGACCAGTACTACAGGAGCGGCGCGCCGTATGGCCGGTGGGACGGCGGCTCGTCGCCGTGGGGTGTGGCGGTGGTGCTCGTGCTCGTCCTGATCTTGGTCTCGTACCAGTCTTCGTTCCAGGAGTGGCGGTTGTTCCCGCTGCGCGGCCGGTGAAGAGGTGCAGTGGACGGCGTGAGGTTAGGCTGCGTCTGCGTGCATGAAGCTGCTTGCATGATCAATTGACCATGGCCATGGCCGTGGCCAGTCTGTTGTATATTGTTGGAGGAGCTAGCCATGGTAGGCATGTCCATTAGTGTCGTGAATCCTTACGTCTAGATGATTCTGCTGGTTTTCATACAACTCAGTTAGAGATGCAAGAATTTCACATGAAGCGGATTTCTCTTGGTGAATGAGCAAATCGATGCTTCTTTCATCTTATTAAAATGCACCGGGTCTTTACAACAACGTATTGTCAAAACTATTCAAGACATTGAGGATTTGAGGTTGCACACAATAAAATTAATACACCCAAAAGTCATGCCGAAGAGATCAACGACACAATAACGCAGCAACCATTAATATCAACACCACCGTTGGCATAACGGTCGTCTCTAAGAAGGGAAAGATGCACGAATGCCACCATTGCAGATCCAACCATGCAGACTAGATTGTGGATTTTCACTCGGATGAGAAATTCAAGCAATCTTTGGACAATGTCTTCAGCAAGGAAACGACATGGAACCCTTCGCAGTTGCACATACAATCAATGAAGATAAGACTCAATAGTTTTCACTCTGAATTTGAGAGCATGTACTTAAAAGGCACCATCAAACCACACAACGACAACCGCTCATTTGTACCTAAGACATGCACATAACAATGAGACTGAACATTTAATTTCCACATACACGAGGTGTTGAGTAGAGTCAATAGAAGCCTACGACCATAGATTAGGACGCCCTCCACCATTATCGGTCATCACGAATCCCGCTAACCAGCCACTGTGCAAGGCCGAATTCGTTGCCAAAAGCCTTTATTCAACGGCCATTTGGTAGCCCCATGCCTTACTCATCACTAGAAGAACGCCCGTGCGTTGCAACGGGGGTTGCAACGGGGCCACATTAACTTTAAGGGCCTCTTTGATTCAAAGGATTTTCATAGGATTTTTTAAGGATTAGAATCCTTAGGAATTTTTCCTACGTTGGTCATTTGATTCGTAGGATTGAATACTATAGAATTCTTTCCTAAGGATTCATTTGTACTACATTTCACAAGAATTCTAACATCCACTTCAACCTCTTGAAAGAAATCCTTTGTTTTTTCCATGACACAATCAAACAAACTCAAATCCTATAGGGATCCAATGGACATGCCATTCCAATCCTACGTTTTCTATTCCTGTGTTTTTGCAATCCAATGAATCAAAGAGGCCCTAAGAGTTCAATACTAATATTCTCATACATATCAAGTGACATTGACGACCTTTTTTACCATCAAATTCTCACACACACACTCTCTGCCTCCCTTTTCCTCACTCTCTCTCTCCCCCCTCTCTCTCTAACACACACACACATATCCATATTATTAGGTACGGGACCACAATCAATCTATTTCACACACACCCTAGTGCATAACAATATGGATTATGTGTATTATATTTGCCACTACAATTGAGGGAATTAATTTCATGTAAATCGGCTAGCCACAGCTCCAAGAATACGCGGAGGATGTGGTCCGCTTCCAAGTGCATCTGCGCGCCGGCCACCCACGCCGGGTCCTTCAAGTGCCGCTTCCACCGCACCAACTCCCAGGGCCAGGGAAGCCGCCCTTCTTCGCCCCCTTCACCGGCCGCGGCCAACGCGGTGCCGCGGCACCCGGCCTCGCCGTTCTCGTCCTCCGGCACCGTCACGACCCAGTGACGTAGCCCAAGCATGGGCCTCGAGAATCAAGAACGCTCGACAACGGAGAGGGAAGGGAAGATCATATACATGTCATAAGAAAGTGAGTTTATTTACCGCTCCCTCGATGTATTTTTTCCTTTGTTTGAAGATTGATTACCATCCATGAGTTAAGGTAAGGTTAATGTGATTGAGCGATTTTTTCTAAAAATCAGTTATTTGTTTTCTAATTAATGTGATTGAGCGATTTAAGGTAAGGTTAATTAATTTAGATTTGACCTTTAGAGATTGTTCATGATTGATTCTACATTACTAAATAACTTGCGCCAGTATGGAAAGTTCTGATCTGTTCAGATTTATTTCGTTGTGTGAGAGGGTGACGCGAAAATAAACCGATGAAGTGGGGGGAGGGGACGAAAAAAATCTATGAAAAAACCCAGCAAAGGTGGGAGGAGGTACCAAAAAAAACCGTGGGAGGTGAGACGAAAAAAACCCTCCCATACTTCATGCAGGAAGAGCACACATTCATAAGCTAACGGTTTCACAATGCGTTCTTGCTGATAGTAATTGAACCAAATGAAACGATGGACAAGCAGATTGATTAAGGAACTCTAGGTAATACTTCATGTCGTAAGCATTGGCTCAAAAAGTTAATTTGTAAGTAACAAAAAAAGGCCTAGAAGAATAGTTCTACCTAAATAAAGTTTACTGCTGCACATGAGCAGATCCACACGAAGCAGAGGGGAGGTGGAGCAGGCCGGTAACCAGGGGAAGGAGCAGAGGGGGAGAAGATTTACACCGCCGTCTCCACTGGATATGGTGTCTCCGCCGCATCTGTGGAGGCGCCGTGGCTCCGCCTCGGATGGTGCTCGTGGCTATGGTGAAGAGGAGGGGCGACGCATGGGCGAAGATGCAGGCGGTACTCGTGGCCAAAATAGTGGGTCGTTCGAGCTGCGGGAGGGAGGAGGGGATCGCCGGGAGGCGGCGAGATCGGTGGGCGGCGGCGGCGGCGTCCAGGTAGGGAAGTCGAGGTAGGGCGCTGTGTTTTTTTAGGGGAATTGCTTGTGAAAATAACGTGCCACAATGATGTAGCGAGCGGATCCCCTTAAAAAAAGACGTAGCGAGTGGATTCCCTTAAAACTGGTAGGAATGGACACGATTGATGACGTTGATAAATAGTGGTGAATGTTGGCCTAATTTACTATTATCATGCATGGAAACGAATCATCAAAAAAAAAAGAATATTTCCTATTACTACGCTCATAGGAAGCTTCCTAATCTCTGCTACCAAACTGTTTCTACCCAAACAAGGAAGGAAAGTTATAGACCTGATTCGGAAGGAAACAAACGTTATGAAGATTAATTAATTTAGATTTGATCTTTAGAGATTGATTGTGATTGATTCTTTTACATAAAGACATTACTAAATAATTTGTGTCAGTATGGAAAGTTCTGATCCGTTCAGTTTTTTTCGGTGTGTGAGAGGGTGAAGCGAAAATAAACCGATGAAGTGGGGGGAGGGGACGAAAAAAAATCTACGAAAAAAACCAGCGAAGGTGGAAGGAGGTATCAAAAAAAACCATGATAGGTGAGACGAAAAAAACCTGAAAGTGAGACTACCAACTGCTCCATTAAAAATAGAGATCAACAACCCACCTTTGGGTCTTGACAGACCACCGTGCACAATCAATGATAGATGCAGACATGCAGTTGATCGGTGCGAGAGATCTGTATAGAATCCGGACTTGCGAACAACCTGATCTGTCACCCGTGTTTCGCTAGTCCGCCCACATATTATCCGCAAATCCATCCCAAACTTCCTCAACCGATAACCCAAATCATTGCATAGCAAAGAATTCTTGGCCATCAAAAGCGGCTTTGGCAACCAGTGCGGCTCTGACCGTCGGCTGGCCACCAAGACTAGACCCGAACCTCATGCCACCCAGCCTCGCACCTATTTTGCTGCCGGTAACATGCGCACCAAACACCACTCTCCTGATGGCCTAGGACCCTCAGATCCAGGGCGGAGCCAGCCCAGCACGAAGCCCCGGGCCACCTTCGTGTACTGTTGCCACTATAATAGGAAGGATCTCTATGCCACGACCCGGGCATGGGCCTGGAGGCCTGGGTCCGGTCTCCGCCACTCCCCAGATCCAAACCACAAATGGAAAAGCCCCGCTGCCACCGTCGAGTTGAAGTTGCTCTTGTATCTTTCTAGCTTCTTTCCACGGGTTTCATTGAATATTAACTAATATTGAGATGAGTTTGTATTACATAAGGTGCGAAGATACAATCTTTTCATTATGTTTTTTTTTGCATCGATAATCTTTTCATTATATAGATGATGCAGAGGGCATGCAAATACATTGGATCCACTATCGTATATGCTGTCCAAAAGGAGCATAATTATAATTGCGAGTACATTTGGACGTAAAAGCATGATAAAGTCAGGTCACAAATCTATGGTGGTTGTTTCTATCTTTGACTTCGTTATTATGGCTGTCCATCTCATGCCATTTGCCCATTTGTGGTGATGCTGATATGTGCCAAAACCACATATAATTGTACAGAAAAGGTACGCATACATTACTACATCCATAGGAATAAAAGGTTTCCGGAAGTGTGGTCTTTATGGGCGCTAGTTATGGACAACAGAATGGCTAACTGTGCCAGGAGCATGATAATGGTTTTAAAATGTTCTGGATGTTCTGAAACGCAATGCTCATTTTCTGGTAAGATCAATCAACTAAGTTCAACTTCAACTTCTTACTGTGCAATATATGCATTTTTTTATTTACTAAAAGTGGAGACTGCGTCCCAATGATAGCCACATCAAATACAGGAAGAATCTTGGAGCACCTTCTCTCAAGGATTTGAACTTTTGAAGCCATCCCCGTTCTCTTTCGGCTCCGCTTGATGGATAACCAAAAGTAGCTTTATGCCTGTTCCTGTAAATGTTATTCAGGTACATTATGAAAATGCTATTTGGTTGAGACATGTATTTATTCTGCTAAATGATGTTTATTTAGTATACTCGACAATAAAAAGTTTAAAACTGTTGTTAAAAGGATCTTTTAATGTGTGGGGTTAATTAGACTATAATCTTGCTTGCCAAATAAGTGTTTGCACAACTACTTCTCCATTCATTTCTACCTAATAGTAAAGCAAGAGTGCTTCTGCCCACTCACCGTCGGGCCATTTTATTAAAAAAAAAACTCTGTTTTCTGCTAAAATAATGAACTGGCCCGCAGTACACATTTAAGTTAGAGCCAAACC